CTGGCATATAAAATTAAAAGTGCAAAACAAAACTTTCTTGAAAATGCGAATAAGTCTGGAAGATGGTTGGCATACAAATTGAAAAAAGAGAGAAAAAGTTGATACATCAATTAATTGATGAGAATGGGACTTTTTTACTATCAGAATGAGGAGAAAAAAATTATTATAAAAGAGTACCATAAGAAACTGTATGATAAGGAGGAAGTCTTGGAAAATAAAATACAATACTTAGAAGAATCTGATCTTCGCAAGGTACCAGATACAGTTAAAGATACGTTGAATGAATGGATATCTATGATGGAAGTGATGGAAGCAATTAAGAGACAAAATAATAATGAAACACCAGGGCTTGATGGGCTACTGGCAGAATTCTATAAACAACTAGAAGGGGTATTAAGTTCAGTGATGGTGGAAGTCTATAATGAAATATTATTAGAAGCAAAAATGCCAAATTCATGGAAGGAAGCGAATATTACCCTTACACTGAAAGACGACTCAGATTTAATACAGATAAAAAACTACAGGCCAGTATTGAATGCGGACTATAAAATATATGCCTCAATAATAGCAGAGAGATTAAAAAGGTATTTGAATGAATTTATACATTCAAATCAGAATGTTTGGGGCTGTGTGGTTCCATGGCCCAGGACAGAGCAGGGGATGGCAGGGTTCTAAGGTGGGGGTTTGTCATCCATTGAAACAGCAACCTCTAAGGGTTGGGACTGGTCGTCTACGGACCCCCAGTGAGGTTTGTAAGAGTGGTGTTCAAGGCGCCTGGGGAGCACAGGGACAGAGGCCTCAATCAGAGACATGGTTCGTGTACCATATGGCATAAGGGAGAACATGGAGGGACCTTGGGGTACCAAGGTACCATGCTACATGTCATGGCGACCAAGGTACTATGCCATACGTCAGAACAGGAGTCAGCCAAGGCCCGCTAACAGTTGGACAGTGGGACCCTCCTGTGGTGAGAGCGAAGTTTAGTGGGAGAGGGGAGAAGGTGGCTTTCTTCATTGGCCAAATCCTGAACCATATGGACCGATACAGCCATCTATATACCTTACAGTGGGACCGTGTAATAACCGTAACGGCAGTCATGGAAGACGAGGCAGCTGACTGGGTAGCCGATCTATATGGGGACTATGCCAAGGAATTAGGGGACCTTGGTCTCTATTTTGCTGCACTCCAAGACTGTTTTGAGGATACAGCAAGGTCTCAGCAGATGGAGGGGGAGTTGTTGGCGGTGCAACAGAGGGAACACCCTGTCCAAGAATATATTCATGACTTCATGCGGTTGGCAGGAAAGATGAGGGGCTGGCCGGAATGCTTGTTAGTACATCAGTTCAAGGCTGGGATGGGTTGAACCCTATGACAGGCCTGTTTATTTCGTGGTCTGCCCCATCACCTTACAGCCTGGTTCGAGGTCTCAATGGAATTAGGATATGAATTCCAGGAGGACCAGATGAAGGAACCCATTTGGGGTCTGAAAACCCATTGTCATCCTGCTGGAGAGAGGACAACCCAACCCTGTGAAAATCCAACCAATTGTTGAGCTAACCACCCCTGGGCCCATAAGACCGCTTCTAACGTGCTTCAAATGCGGCAAACCGGGCCATAGAGCATAGATGGATTAAAAACTATACAAGAATGATTTTAAATACATTGGAGTATTATGAGATGCACCCTGGAAAACAAATGGCATTGATGTTCCTAGATACACAGAAAGCATTTGACAACGTTAATTGGCAATTCATGATAGCACAATTAAAATACATGGACTTTGGGGAGAGATTTACCAACATGATCAAAGCAATATATTGCAAACAATCAGCTATGTGATAGTAAATGGAGACATGGCAGAGAATTTTGATATCAAAAAAGGCACTAGACAGGGATGTCCATTGTCTCCATTGCTATTCATATTGACTCTGGAAGTGTTATTCAGGAAAATTCAACAAGATGAAGAAATAAAAGGAATGGAAATAAAAAAACAAAAATGTAAACTACAGGCATTTGCAAATGACTTAGTCTTCATACTAGAAGACCCCATAGAAACTGGACTGAAACTAATTAAAAAAAAATAGAAGAACATGGGGGAAGTCACAGGATTGAAAATAAATAAGGATAAGACAAAGATTCTAGTCAAGAACCTCACAGATACACAAAAAAGAATGTTAATGGAAAGAAATAATATACAGATAGTTAAAAAAGTGAAGTATTTAGGAATAAAATTAACAGCAAAATGTGCAACAATTAGAGAGCATAACTACATGAAACTGATGAGGCAAATTAAGCTAGACTTGGAGAAATGGAAAGATTTACAATTGTCACTATCAGGAAGAATAGCTACTATAAAAATGAACATTTTGCCAAGACTACTATATCTATTTCAAACAATACCAATAAAACTGGAGAAAAAATATTTTGAAGAATTAAATAAAATAAAATAACATCAAGATATATATGGTTAGGAAAGAAAGCATGAATAGGTTTGAAAATGTTACAGGAATTGAAGAAAAGAGGGAGTTTTGGACTACCAGATTGGGAATTGTACTATCAGTCCTCGGTACTCACATGGATGAAAGAATGGATTAGTTTGAGACACGTAAGACTATTAATATTAGAAGGACATGACCTCCAACTAGACTGGCATGCTTTCCTATGGTATGGTATAGGAAGAATAAGATATATAGCTACTTTCAGAGACATTATGTAAGAAATGCATTGTTATTAGTCTGGACCAAGATAAAAGAACAACATTATTTGAAAATACCAAGCTGGTTTTCTACTATTGAGGCATTGATACATGCTAATGTTATTAACATGGAAAAAATGTTAGAGTGTAAGATATAAGGATATATTGAATTGTAAGATTATAAGGATATATTGAACAACAAAGGGGAATTAAAAACAAAACAGAAATTTAGTAGCCATGGGATAGATATTACAGATACAATCTTGTTATGAGAAAGATGCTAAAATGTATGGTTTTAACAAAGAGTTAACAGAACTAGATCAAATATTAATTGGAACAGGTGATAAACTGATAAAGAAACTATATTGTTACCTATTAAGTATTAAATATGAAAGTGAGCAGGTAAAGGAGATAATGATCGCCTGGGCTAAAAATTTTGAATATGCAATAGAATTAGACAAATGGCAAAAACTGTGGGATAGAAATATTAAATTGATGATGTCAACTGCATATATGAAAAATTTATATAAAATGTTTTATAGATGGCATTTTGCACTGGCAAGTTTGGCAAAAATGTATAAAGAAAAGATCTGCTAAATGTTAGAAGTGTAATCAATCATCTGGTTCATATTACCATATGTGGTGGACATGCCCAAAAGCAAGAAAATTTTTCTACCAGAAAAATATGATAAAAAGGCTACATACTTGATCCTGCATATACTAAGTGAACTAGAATTGTATTTGCACAACAATAGAAAAATGATGAGATCCTGTCTGAGGGAACAGGAATGGGGTATCAACAAAAATGTTCACCAGGATGGGTGAACTGTAAATTATTTTTTCATAGAATTTAAAAATGATGTTTGCATAGCAGCATTTAAGGACCAATCACATAAGTAGTATTTCAGTCAGTGGTGAAATGTAAAATTAGTTACTACTGGTTCTGTGGGCATGGCTTGGTGGAGGAGGTAATGTGACTGGGTGGGCGTGGCCAACTTTTTTTTTTTTTTTTTACTTTTAAAAGCATTTTTTTCTGCAACCTCTTCGGCTGAAAAGGTTGCAGAAAAAAATGATTTTAAAAGCCTTTGACGATCAGGCAACTCGGCTGGGATCGTCAGAGGCTTTTAAAAGCATTTTTCTACCAAGAGGTTGTAGAAAAAATGCTTTTAAAAGCCTCTGACGATCCCAGCTGAGCCGCGCGATCATCAAAGGTTTTTTTTTTTACTTTTAAAAGCATTTTTTCGGCCAAAGAGGTTGTAGAAAAAAAATGCTTTTAAAACTAAAAAAAAAAAAAGCCTCTGATGATCACGCGGCTCATCTGGGCATGGGGTATGTGTGCAGGGATTTTTGCTATCGGTTCTCTGAACCACCCGCCGCCATCGCTACCGGATTGGGCGATCCGGTCATTTCACCCCTGATTTCAGTGCATTAAAATAGATTGGCAGGCTATTAATTCAATATATTTCACATATATGGGGAGGGTGGAAGAGAGACTATTGGTTAATTAGGACTATAGGACTAACTGTCTATGATTGTCAATCATCCAGGTCATGGTTGTCCCAAAGGTGCTTTTTTCAAGAGGCAACTGGACAAGAAAGTATAAAGATTTATTGGGGCCTTTTTTCCCAAAAAAGGAGAGATTAAAATGCTGGCACAATAATTTAAGAATTTAAACTTGCCTACATTAGGGACATTGGAAAAGCACCATTAAGGCCAAGTATACTTGTAAAGAGTATTAGTTCTGCAAAAGGGAGGAATTTCATCTAGTAAGGAAACTGTAGAAGCAGCAATGAGAAAATGTGGGTGTATTACAGATGCATGTCAGTATCATGTCGTTCTTCTATAAAATATGAGTGACTGAATCATAGTAATTCCATAACAAGAGCTCTCATGAAACCCCTCCTCCTTGTATTTCTTACTAAACTTTCATTTTTATGGAATCATTCCCCACCTATTTGGACCATTTCTTTTCCTTCCATTATTATTATTTTTTTGAATCATTGTGTGCTTATTTGGCTTGGGAACTGTAGGGCCGGTGTAAACATTTAATTTGGTGTTATTTTGATGAGGTGGATAGAGATCTTGCAATAGCACTGCAAACTAGCCTCAAGGATGAGGGGGAGAGGGGAATGACCTTGGGCTTGGTTTCCAAAACAAAGTCTTTTCTTCATGTTAGCATGAGGTACAACCAGACAGTCCAGTAAGGGGAAGGCTAAAGATTAGTTTTGCCCTTAGGTTGCCTATATAAGGAGACTCTGGAAGATTTACTTTGCCTTCACTCTTCTGTTTTGCACTGCTTCTGCAGGTGAAACCATGCCTACTACTTTTTCCACCCACAGCATGTCCTCTGGAAGCATGCAAGGACCCAGGGGAAGACGCCTGCTTGCCTTAGGCAGGTCTCAGGCAGTGCCAAGTACCCACAGGGTTATTGGGGGCATGGCTGGGCTGTCATATGGTGATGGGCAGGCATTTATGGACACAAATATTCTGGACCTGAATGAAAAGGGCACCATGAAAAATCTGAATGACCGCCTGGCTGCCTACCTAGACAAAGTGAGTAATCAGATAATGTTTTCCTAATGACAATGTCAGAAAAAAAGTAATACTATAAAGGTAGGTCTACCTCTGTCTTTGGGGCATTTTTGTGGAATTTGAAAGCATATAAGACTGCTATTTGACAAGGAAGATGTTTTTCTATGTGACAAACATCCTAGCATTTTTTTTTCTGGAAGAAAGATACATGTCGGATCTTTCCAATTATTCAGTGCTAAAGGAAAGATGTTGATAAATGTTTAGATGAATTATTAGCTCATATCCCTTCCTCTACCCAAGGAACACAATGTTTGATAGAAAATTACAGAAGAGTATGATTTGAGAGGATAAGAGGAAGAAAAAAAAATGGAGTCAAAAGCCAATAATTTTTCTTTGTTTCTGTCATCGGTGTTCTATCTGTTCGTGGCTTTGACATACACCGGTGAATACCCAGGGATTAATCCTGCAAAACTGAGTGGGGGTCAAGATTTTATGAGCGCAGCTTAATTAGTAATGTACTTCAAAACAAAATAGAAAGTACACTGGGACCTGGCAGGGCATGGGAGTTCTTTTTTTCTTGAAGCATTCTGATCTGCTTTATTTAATGGTTTTATTTATTGAGGAGACTTAATTTTTTTATATGAGATGTGGGGGGGCATATAACCCTAGGAAGCTCACAACATAAAAATTAAACAGAAAAAGAAGACAGGAGTATTAACAGTAAAATTATATTTCATGATGCTCTAAAGCAACCCCCCCCCCACCCAATACATCTGCCGTCAACCTCAAACTTTCTACCTTCCATTAGAAAACCTCATCTTGTGTGAAATAGTTTTCACAGTGCAACAGAGGTACTCCAGCACACAGCACAGTGATAATTATTTGAGTTTATGGATTAATGATAAATAAATACATTTCTATAAGAGATTATGGTCTGTGTTTTACTGATTTTTGTGGTAAAAATGCTTTAGTTATGTAAGATTTATTTTCTTTGCTTTATATTGCAGAAAGTTATAAGTGACACACTAAATTTGAATGATTTGGAAGTTAGCAAGGAAATGATTAATTGTAGGTTATTTGCAATAATTGTAGGTTATTTGCAATGGTCAGTGGTTGCTGTTTTAAATGGCATGATACACCATCTTTTTTTGGGATGGAAGTGGGGTAGGCAAGGTATAATTTTCCCTGAACTCATATAGTTGGTATCACAGAAACATTGTTTGATTGAACTTTGATGCAATGTGTCATTAGCATGTCAACACTCAGGATGGAATTGTCCTCTCACCATGGAGATGGTATTCCCTGCCTACACAAATTAGAATCTCTTGTTTTATTTTTCTACAATTTCTATCTTTATTTCTTGACATTTCTCTCAATTTATGAGCCTCTTTAAGAGCCATAATTCTAAATGCGGGTTTAGAAGAGACAATAATTAACCCAGAATGTTTAACAGAAAAAATAGAGGATTTTGAAGTATAGCTAATCCTCCAGCACAGAAACAACTGATTAGATTGTAATCCACCATCTCAGTATGAGAACTTAGAAGCATATTTGTAAGGATAAATTAAAATGACTTTTCTTTTCAGACTTGAGACAAAGCAAGATATAGCAGAGCAGAACAGAAATAGTTCCAATTCCTTCCATGGCAGTGACCATGTGTTTAGCCAAGAGTGGTATTACACGACTTTCATTAATTTAAATACGCTTCCAATAACTTTCCCCATCTAGTACTTTCTAAAGATTTTCAGATTGTATCTTTCTAAGTTCCCAATCATTTAGGAAATGTCCTAGTGTTGTGATGGTGAACCTATGGCACGTGTGCCAGAGGTCGCATGCAGCGCCCTCTCTGATGGTACGCAAACCGTCGCCCCAGTTCAGCTCCGCTGTGCATGCGTGCATGCCTCCTGCCAGCCAGCTGGTCTTTGGGTCTCTGCTGTGCATGCGTGGGGCGTGTGTGGGGCCCTGCATGTGCATGCACGAGGACAGGGCACATGCAAGGGGCTGTGTGCGCAGGCACAAGGGGGACAGGGTGCAAGCGTGGGGCCGCGTGTGCATTGGGCACTCAGTCTGGAAAAGGTTAGCCATCATTGTCCTAGTGGATTCTGCCAATATAACTTTTGTAGACATCTAGTTTTCATGCTCCACTATTCAGTTTTCTCTGGTGATTTCAAAAAGACAGAAATATTTCCGTTATCATTCTTTCTACATCCAAATTTCAGACTGGAACCAACTTAGGATTGGTCAATAGATAAGTGTAGGATTATGGTCTATTTCTCTTACTTTTCCCCTCCCTTTCTGTACTCTGTATTCCTATCAACCTGAGTAAAGCCATTTCCCAGCTGAGGATTTCCAATGGCATCACTCAGCCATTGCTGGGGGAAAATAAAGCCTGTTCTCCTTACAACTACAGCAACACAACAATAGTTCAATGACTTGAGAAGATGCTATGTAGTGAGGAACTGGCCAAGTACCTATGGCAGTTCTAAGAATGCATAGTCTGTTAAAGGTGTGATCAAGGAAGGAAGGAATTGAGGGAGGAAGGAGGGGCTGATTTTCTTCTGCCCTTCGTTCAGTCTTTCAAATCTAATCATTGACATTGGCCATATGAATGAGCGATTCTGAAAGTCTGAGGGCACCAGTTAGTGAAGTCAATTATTCATTCAAGTCAGCCTGTAGGTCTATCAAATTATCTATTTATTTATCTATCTATCTATGTCCAAAGCTGACAGTAGTCCCTTCTGATAATGATATTTAAAGTCAAATAGCCAAACCACATCTAGAGATCTTAGGATTCTGCAAACTGTTCTTTATTCTGATATTCTAATTCAGTTTCACTTTTTTCCCCTTAAAACAAGGTGCTGTCCCTTGAGAAATCTAACATGCAACTGGAGCAGAACATCCAAGAGCTGTACACAAAACGAGCATCAGCTGGTATCCATGATATGAGTGCCTATTTCAATGCCATGACCCAGCTAAAGTCTGAGGTATTATGTTGAAATGTTTTTCTCTTCTTTCCTGTTAGGCATCTATACTTTGACATAGGATGTATTAGTGACCTGAAACAGGACTGTCTCGAAATATTTTGTTTTTGAGGAAGAGATCAAGATGATGTCTCCCCATTCTATATATAGAAGTTGAAGACATATTTTATTTTACATCAGTCATGCTATTTTGTCATGTACTGAAACTTCAGGGCAAAGAACTGGCCATGTGGCATATGAGATTATTTCAATTTCTGTCCCTCAACATTTGCTTCAGTGGTGGGTTGCCCCCAGTTCGCACCGGTTCTATAGTACCAGTAGTAAAACCGGTGGGAGGCTCTGCCCACCAACCCCAATGTCCCCAAAATGCTTCTGCGCATGCGCAAAAGAGCGCGCATGCATGGCTCCGCTGCAAACCAGGAGTAAAGGTAAGTAAAACCCACCTCTGATTTGCTTCCTGAGTTGGTGGCTTTATCTCTCTCACAAAATTACTTGCAGTGTCATAAAACTGTGCTCAGGGGAAAGTACCAAAAGATGATGATGTAAACTTCCTGTGGTTTCTAAAAATATTGAATTCTAACTTTATTTTTGAGAAATCTAAAAAAATAAAATAAAAAATGAATGTGCATTTCTACATTTTGTTTATCTTAATGACACAATGAGAATAATATCTGGAACCCTCAAATCTACCCCACTCTCATGGTTCCATATTCTTCCTAACATTGCCCTTCCTGATTTCAGGTGACAACAACAGTCAGTTTGAGAATGGAATAAGATACTGGCCATTGACTCCTAGAGATCTTCCAATCATAAAATATTAGACTCTACCTCTCACCAGGCACAAGTCTAGGAAACCAATTCAGGATAACATATCAGAGTCATGATCTAGTGAAGAATTGTGATCAAAACAGACAGCCTTTAGTAACGATAACCAAATAGGTGAAGTAGATCAAACCACTCCCAAGAATATAGTTGCCCTGAAAAATATGGAGGCACCAGAACGGAATCAGGACAGGCCATACCAGAACTAAGATGAAAGTTCTTTAAATGGGGAATTGTCAAGAGTCTGCAGTGTGACTGTAGTGCACCAGAACAAATGATAATGCATATACTTCGAGAATGTCTCCTCAGGAAATTTCAAGGCACCTGGGATGATCTCATTGCAGCCAAATCAGAAGCAGTTAGATGGTTAACTTCCTTAGATACTGAGCTGTAATATCTATGCTATTGCAACTATGTGGCATCATATTATGGCAATTTTACCATGGTTTTACCCTAAGTTAATATTTTATCTATTGTATTGTCTACACACTTTACATACATGGATATACTTGTATATGTGTATGTACAGCTCTCTCCCTCCCTCCCTCCCTCCCTCCCTCTCTCTCTCACCTGATGGCTCAGAGGTTAAAGAAACGGAACTTGTCAGGCCAGATGTAAGTGCTATATAGCAAGTTGAACATCTGTTACTTGCCCTGGCTCCTGTCAACCTAGCAGTTCGAAAGCATGCAAATGCGAGTAAATAAATAGGTACCACTTTGGTGGGAAAGTAACAGCATTCCATGTGTCTCAGTGTATAGTAATACTGGCCACATGAGCATAGAAGTGTCTTTGGACAATGCTGGCTCCCTTAGCTAAGAAATGGAGCATTGCCACCTAGAGTCGGACACAACCTACAGAGGAAATCTTCACCTTCATCTCTATGCTAGTACTTTACTTAAACTTAAACTTATATTTGTATTTGTATGTGTTTTATTAGTGTTGTACATCAATGTTTGCATGACCTCTATAGATACCTTGTGAATGATTTTTTAAAATGTTACCTAATTCTGGGTTTTATTTAATTGACCAAACTAAGTAATAATTTTAATTAGCAATTTTATGATGTTTGTGTATCTATATTTTTCTTGACTGTACACCGCCTTGAGTCCTACGGGAGAAAGGCAGTATAGAAATATAATAAATAAATAAATACCATACCCTAAATTAATTAAACAAACAGGACTCAAATATTGTACCCATCTCTTATTTTGGAGTCCTGCACTGACATTATTCAGAATTGAATAATTATTATATTTAACAATTTTCTTGCTAAATGGTATTCTCTATGATGATGTTTTGAAATCTATCCCCCCCTTTTTTTTCATAGATTCAGACGGAGACTTTGAAAAATGCTGGACTGCTCTTACAGATTGATAATGCCAGACTTGCTTCTGATGATTTCAGGGTGAAGTAAGTTTAGCTAATCGGTGTTGTTCTTTACTTTTTCATCACACACATAACCATATTTGTTTGACAGTAGATTTCCCGACTTAAAAAAAAAAAATTAGCCATGTACCTGTGTTTTTATTTGTTGGCATCCTGACATTATGCAAATATTAAATGATTTTCTTAAATCAATTTATGTAACAGGTACAAAGTAAAAACATGATTAATTTTTTCTCCTCTGTGTGAGCAGCTGTTACAGCTGATAACAAGCAAAAGCCTGGGCTGCTGGCTAAAGTGGCTGCGAAAAGGAATTTGTGAAATGATAACTAGATAGGATTTTTTCTTATTCAATTATTGTTTATCATTGATGGTGACATACTTTTCTACCAACTCACAGTCAGAGGTCAACACATTAATGTGATAGACTAGCTGTGCCCTTAAAGAAAAATTTAATATTGAAAAGCTACCACCAACAGGAAAGAATTAAAATTAAGATGACTCACTCAAATTACTGATTACAATTCTTTGCAGGGATGCTCGTATTTTAATCTGTTCTACATTTGAAAACAAATCAGTCAGTTTCACATCTCTTTTATATGTTGATCATAATATAGTTATCCTTGGGATTCAGCACTGTTTATACTTTTCAGAAAAAAGAATGCTAAGAGAAGATGTACAAGTATGTATTTGAGATCATAAAGCATAAATCAGATAAAGCCTAGTGGGAGGTATAGAGTGTGCATAAGCACACAGATGATCCGAAGTGCCATGTTTGGGACCTCATATCCATTTAATTCTAGTTTGTTCATAAAGGGCAGACTGGAGTCTCCCATGGCTGGCTTGCAAGATCTATATACTAAACTCTCTTGTCTGTAACTGAGTGAAACAGTGCATCACAGAGCAAAACCTTTTCAACCAAGTTAACTCAAAAGGACTAATTTACAGAATGCATCCAGAGACCCATGACTCACGCAGAATTGAAGCTTGTCAAATTTACTAATATACATCTCTGTATATCTCCCTGTATTTTTAAGAAGTTTTCAAGTATATTAAAATTATAGGTATTGAAGAAACTGCTAAGGAAATATCTCTGAAATGATGACCCAGTGGTCAGACGGTCTAGTGTTAAATATAACTCACTCCAAAACGTTTGGTTTGTAAATCTATTTAAAGAAATTTTCGTTCCAATCCAATTCTTCAATATTTTTGGAGATTTAAGAAAAATAATTGCTAATAAATTTCAGTTAATGTTTTCTTTTTCCTTTCTCTCTCTTTCTCTGTGTTGAGATCTGCTAATATTGATATCCAAGCCAGAGCTAAATATGACATTATATTTATAATTGTTAGGAAATCTTGTTTCTGCATGTTCTATGGACATCTAACTAGACATGATCTCCATGACTGATTACAAATTGGACTTAAGAAGACTTTATATATTTTATAGCTTCCTTCCTATAGATATGACCCTCTATATTGTATGGTGTGAAGAAAAAGTTACAAAAATTGAAGTATGCTTTAAGATTGGGAAACAGAGAAAGCATGAGACAGAAGCTGAGACTGGCAATGAGATGTAGTCTTCCTTGTCTTTTTAATTGTCCCTAGATCTAATATCTTCTGAATTCAAGCCAAGACAGATTAACTAGAGGAGATCTGGGTAGGACCATTGCTTGTTGCTCGAAGATCTAGATCCTTGACCCCAACAATGTTAGTTTACTCTATTATCCTTGCACCTCGTACAACGAAATTAAATGCCATCTTCAGTGTACATAATACATAAGAAAACTATAAAAATAAAACAAAAACGCACATCCTTCACATTCTATACAATTGAATTGAAAAAAGCATTTGATATTCTCAGTTATGTAGCCATCAAGAACCCTAGCTAGAAATGTGCTATGTGGACCATTTTTTCCTTTTGTAGGCTGGAATCTGAGGTAGCCATGCGCCTGTCTTTGGAGGGAGATCTTGCGGGACTACGTAAGGCCCTAGAAGAATTGAATGCAAGTCGAGCTAGCTTGCAGGTGCAAGCTGAAAATCTCCAAGAGGAGTTGGCCTGTCTCAAAAGAAACCACAAGGAGGTAAATATGGATATAGCTGTGTGAAATTTGTCCATGATATTAAGTTAAGTTAAGTTACGCTTCTTGCATCAATGTTGCCACACAGTGTTTCAATAGAAGTTCTTTTAATTTCATGGCTGCTGGAATACAAATGTTTATCATATTGTTTCCTTTTGTTAGGCTATCTGAGTTTGGAATTTAAATAATAAGGAACACAGGTTAAAATAATCTTTTTTTTTCCTAATGGGCCTACACAAAGTCCCAATTTGAAGGAAAAAAGATGCTTCAGAATACATGTAAGAATGGCATCTATTGGCAATTCTTTAAAACAAGTGCAATATTTTCCAGAATTGGTCTGCTACTATAGAAAGCAACCACATCATTCTAGGAAAAGAAGCAATTGCTTTAAGGAGTCGTTGAGAGGTGCGACTTGATGCCTTTGTGTGCTCCAATGCATCTTCTATCTTTTAAACCCAAAGTGTTGCACAGCCCTATTTTCTAAATAGTAAGGAATGGCACTTTTAAAATCCTTCCATAAGGTTTGTTGAAGGGCCATATGAAAATAGTTTGAACATTCTATGTACTTGCTCCCAACTGAAAATTTTCACCTCTATTTTATAATATTTAGGCAGGGCTAAAGTAATACAATAAGACATGCTCAACATGCTCAACAGCCAAAAAATAGAGACTTTTTTTCAGAGGTAGGATTGGAAGAATGGGTGAGAGGGAAAATGGAATTAAAAAGCAATGAAAATAAACTATTGTCAGATCTGTGAATCTGCCATTCCTCAAGGGGGAAGAGGGGGACCCCTGTATTTATCATTGCATTTATACTTTATTGCTTTCTCCCCAATGTATCCTGCAATATTGATTTATATCTTCTAGGCAGGCACCTAAGCAGCCTGGCATTTTCTCACTTTTTGGGGAATGTAAGAGGAGGGAGGGCCATGTGGATTTCATTGCTCAAGAGCCGATGGAAGGATGACCCTGAGAAAGTTTCTCAGAGTGGCCGGTACAATAACATCTTCATACCTGTGGATTGGCTGAATCCACATCAGAATGTTCCTTTATTCTAACTATATGGTCTGAGGTCCTCAGAGCCTGCTTTCTTCTCACCCTGCTATCATCTCTATTCAATAAAAGGTTCCTTTTGAAATGCTAAATTTCAAGAGTCTTTGCTTTCTTGAATAAGGGGGAGAGGGTCCTTACATAAAGCAGACTCTGGAAACGTGATCAACCTGGAAAGGAAAAATTTTTTTTTACTCTACTGAGGGGATTCTGCAAACCATGTCTGAACAGAGCAGTGAGCAAGGGGAGGCCAAATGCTGGGGGCAGGCCTCTACGACCACCCAACCGGATGCCGGTCCCATATGCCCCATTGAAGACATCGAAGCTATCCTGGAAGGCTCCCCAAAACTCCACTGGTCAATTGGGGTGAGGAAGAAGGACAGCTGGGATGGGAGAACCAAGGGGGTCACCCTCACTCATGGCAGCTGAAAACCGGGGTGGAAGATGTAGTTGGAGGCCCTATCCAACCACGAAGAGCTGAGCAAGGAATCACTGGGGGATGATCAATTCAAATGGTACACCACCCAGCTCGTGATGGAGGCTCTTGGGGATCTAAACATCCAAAGGGAACCAGATCGCCAACGGAGGAGGGCAGAAGCTGCACCCGCTGCTAAGGGAGCCAGAGCCATCACCCTGGACCCTGCAGCAGTCGACCAAGCTGACTTCAATGCTGCCGGAGCAGCAGCCATGCAGCGAAACCCCTCCTCTCTCAGCCCCAGCCCAGGAAAATGTCCCCGGTCAACTCAGGGGCCTGCAGTTGGAGAGGAGGACCCCCTTGGGTGTGAAGTTAGATGGAGCTCCCAGAAGCTGGGCTTTTTCTTAGCCCAAGTCCTCATGTACATACAAGAATACGGCCAAAACTTCCCAACCCAGGGGGCGAGAGTTCGAGTCATTATACTGACTTTAGAGGGGGCAGCTGCTCGATGGATGGTGACCCTTCATAATGCTGATGCCATGGAGCTGCAAAACTTCAACCGCTTCATGAGGGCCCTGCGACAGTGGTTTGAGGACCCACTAGCTGACTGCAAAGCCCACGATCGTATCAGAGCCAGTGGCCGAATACAAAGAAGAATTCTGCGACCTAGCCTGCCGTGTATACTGGCCAGAAGACATCCTGGTGAGCTGGTTTAAGGACAGGCTGAACGACCTGTATATCGCTTGCTTAGCCCAGGGTGCCCCTAACCGCTTGCATGAATGGTACCTAATGGTGGAGGAAGCGGAGATCGACATGACCCAAAACCAATACTGGGCAGGTAGAGTTTGGAGAAGTTTCCCACTCCAGGGGAAGAGGGAGCCATTCAAGCTGCATACTGCTCTGGCACCGAGACCATTGGCCTGTTTCAAGTGCGGAAAGGAGGGGCATTGTGCAGTGGAGTGCCGTTTGAAAATTCCCACCAGAAAGCCTGAGCACCTGTCCAGAGGGAAACCTGTGAAGTCAACCCCCTGAGGGAAAGAGACCGCTTTAAGATCGCTTTAAGAAGCAGAGAGGCCATGGAGTTTCCTCCTCTCCCCAGGGGAGGAAACTCTGGCAACCCAACGTGAGGACCCAGGCCCATCTGAGAGTGATCTGCAGGATGACCCACTCGTAAGCAATCCAATTGAACAGCTCACCCTACCCATAAGACTTTTCATCCCTAGCCAAGGGAAGGGGGAGAAAATCTCAGCATTACTAGACTTGGGCTGCACATGATGCCTAATTAGCCCTGCCCTAGTAGGGAGACTGGGGATCCATTTAAGAAAGTTAAAAAATCCCGTCGCTTTCTGCCAGCTGGACAGGACAGTAACTGGGGGAAACCTGCCATTTTTGCCACAGAACCTGTGCAAATAAACCTGCAAGACCACATTGAAATCCTTATGTTTATAGTAGCTCATGGAATGGAATGGCCTCTAGTTCTGGGTCTCACGTGGCTGAGAAAATGGAACCCTAAAGTAAACTGGAAGCAAGGGACCATAACATTCCAAAAGCAAGTTGCGTTCGCAGATGAAAAAGAGGTTAAAGCCGAAAGGGGGGAGAACAAAGAGGCAGCAATGCCCAGCTGCCAAATCAAGGGATCCCAAAGGAATACAGAGACCTAGCTGAGGTATGAGCAAGGAAGATTCCAATGAACTCCCACCCCAACGTGCCACAGAGTGTGCCATCAAAATTTTACCAGGGGCCAAACTTCCAAAGCCAAAAATGTACAGCGTGTCCCCTTGAGAACTAGACACACTGAGGTCATTCATTGACAAAAATCTAGCGAGGGGATTTATCAAACCTACGTGACCAAAAATTGTGGCCCCAGTACTGTTCCATAAAAAAAAGGATGGCACTTTACACCTTTGCATAGACTATAGAAATTTAAACATGGTGAGCATAGAGAACATTTACTCCCTCTCCCTTATGAAGGACATGCTGGCACACCTCTCAAAAGGGAACATCTTCTCTAAACTGGATTTAAGGGAAGCGTATTACCACATCAGAATAAGGGAAGGGGATGAATGGAAGACCGCATTCAATACCTCATTGGACTATTACTAATTTAAAGTACTCCCATTCGGATTACAAGGCCCCATGGCCATTTTTATGCAACTAATTAATAAAGTGCTTCATGAATATTTATACAAGGGGTTTTTGGTTTACCTTGATGACATTTTAATATACACTGAAATCAAAGTAGAGCATGTAAAATTGGTCTGAGCGGTCCTAAATAAACTCTGCTCTGCAAAGCTCTTTGCAAAACTATCCAAGTGTGAATTCCACCAGGAAAAAAATAGACTATTTAGGGTACTGAATATCCTACGAAGGGATAGAGATGGACCCACAAAAAGTGCAAGCCATGGTCGACTGGGAGCCACCCCGCATAGGTAAACAGCTACAAAGCTTCTTGGGATTTGCAAACTTTTACTGCCAATTTATTCCAGCTTTTGCAAAAATCAGCCTCCCCATTACTAATCTGCTTAAAACAAAAGGGGAGGACAAACCAAAACCCAGGCAACTACTAAACTGGACAATGGAATGCCAAGTGGTATTTGAAAAACTTAAGCAACTTTTCTCAGCTGAGCTGGTGTTAAAATACCCAGATCCAGAGGACCCCTTGGAGGGCAGGGCTGAGGATTTCAGACGATATCTGTATGACAAAATCGCTCAGATCCGGCGGGATTTGGACTCTAACTGGGTAGATCCGGGCAGGATGTTATCTGGGAAGAGTTTGACTCTGTGACTCCGGATGACGTGGACAGGATTTTGGGGAGACTTAATGCGACCACATGATTACTGGACCCGTGTCCCTCCTGGTTAGTACTGGCTTCCCAGGAGGTCACACGAGGCTGGCTCCAGGGAATTATCAACACTTCGTTGAGTGAGGGTCACTTCCCCGCTGCCTTGAAAGAGGCGGTGGTGAGGCCTCTCCTCAAGAAGCCCTCCCTGGACCCGGCAGTATTGGCTAACTACCGTCCTGTCTCCAACCTTCGCTTCGTGGCGAAGGTTGTTGAGAGTGTGGTCGCACGACAGTTTCCACAATTCCTGGAGGAAACATCCTATCTAGATCCGTTCCAGTCGGGTTTCAGGCCTGGGCACAGCACGGAAACGGCATTGGTCGCGTTGGTTGATGATCTCTGGAGGGCTCGGGACAGGGGTTGCTCCTCTGTTCTGGTCCTATTAGATCTCTCAGCGGCTTTTGATACCATCGACCATGATATCATGCTGCACCAGCTGGAAGAGTTGGGGATGGGGGGCACCATGTTATGGTGGTTCTCCTCCTTTCTCGCTGACCGGTCGCAGTTTGTGTTGACAGGGGGGCAGAGGTCGACCTTAAGGCCTCTCATCTGTGGAGTGCCGCAAGGGTCGGTCCTCTCGCCCCTTCTGTTCAACATTTATGTGAAGCCACTGGGTGAGATCATCCGTGGCTTTGGGGTGAGATACCACCAGTACGCTGATGACACCCAGCTGTCAATCTCCACCCCAGGCCACCCCA